AGGAGTTTTATAAAACGTCATTCGACCAAGTAATAAAAATTATTTGTATTATCGATTATTAAAATTTAAATATTAATTTGTGCGATTTCCTTTTTTTGTTATCGGGCCGCACAAAAATCACAATCGGGCCGCAGGCGGCCCGTTGTCCGCCAGTTGGACATGGCTGATCTAGACAGCCGTTCTCGGCACCAAAACATACTCCATCATGTTGTTTAAGCATGTTCTCAATCCTAAATTGATATCCCAAAAATCGAGTGATCTCTGATTTTTTGAACAAATGTCCGCTGGAGCAGATTTTTCTAGAAAAACTCAAATATCTCGAGAACGGCCGAATCAAATTGCAAAAAGGAAAGTTATATTTATAAACCTTCAAAACAGACAAATTTCGATTTAAGTTCCATTTAAAAAAATAGAGTAGGTGGCGACTTCCGGTATAACCAGAAGTGCTAGAAATCTGAAAATATTTTAGATGAAGAGAACGTAATTGATAATACTTAAGTCTGCATTCTCAAATTTTTGGTTTGGCCAGAACCCCAGAAACGTCTAATGACCGGTCTCGCTGAGACACCCTGTATATAAAAAATTTTTTTAGGATGAACCACCAATATTAAATCCAACTTCAATGATAAAGCAACATGGTGATTACTGGATATATTACAACTTGCTAATTTCGAAGAGAATGTTCGCGCCATATGAAAGCATCACTTACACCACTCAGGGAGATTTTACCTTCTTGGATAACGTTCAGCCGCTATTAGAGCGCTGGAAAGGCCCAATGAGCATCGCCTTATATGCTCCCGGAGATGATTTCAATTACACTGTTGAATCTATTCATTATTTACGCGATTGCACGACGAATTTAATTCAGAACTTTGTTACATTTCACGTTTTCCTTAAAGGGCAAGATCTTCCTAAAGAGGTAAAAACTATTCTAGAAAAACAATTATTTTACCTTATTTTATTTTTTTTGATATTTAGATCCCCAATTTTAAAAAAATATTTAATACAACGTACAACTGTAATATCGAACCAAGCTTTAAATCGATAAAATCGAATGAAACCTACAGAGCTTTAAATAATCTTACATATCCAATAAATGTAGCGAGAAACGTGGCGAAAGAATCTTCTCAAACCTATTTCGTTTTAGCCTCAGATATCGAACTTTATCCGAGCGTGAATATTATCCAAAATTTCTTAGAAATGATTAACCGTACTCAAATAACCGCTACCAATTCAAACCCGGCCGTATTTCCTTTAAATGTATTCGAGGTAAAAGAAGACGCTGAAATACCTAAAACGAAAACTGAACTTCTAGAAATGTTAAAGAAGAAAAAGGCGATTAATTTCCATCAGAAAGTGTGCCCGGCTTGCCATCGCACTCCGAATTATAACGAGTGGATTAAAACTAATGAAACTAAAGGCATAAACGTATTCTATGTAGGTAAAAGGATAGGAAGTTTTAAAAGTTGGGAACCATTTTTTATCGGATCAAAATATGCTCCAGATTTCGATGAAAGGTTGTCGTGGGAGGGACAAAGCAATAAAATGACTCAAGTAAATGTTACATTCATTTATGATGTAAATCTTCGTAAATTTAATTGATTTCTTGTAGGGTTACATTTTATGCGTTAAAGATTATGACATGATGATGTTGGACAACGCGTTTTTAGTTCATAAACCAGGTATTAAAGTTTTCCGTAGGGATCCGATTCGAAGAGCTCACGTAATAAAAACAAACGTTTTGATAAGAAAAGTAATTAGAAAAGAATTGGAGACTTTATTCGGTGTTAAAAAAGGTTGTCGTGTTTAATTTAATAATCATTGACAATTACATTAAAATTTTATAACATAACAATAAGTTCTTTTATTAGTTATCATTATGTAATTTTGCTAACATTCCTGAGTGTTACCATTAACTAACTTAATTTTTGAAACAACGAAATTCATCAAATTTTCATATTTTTCTCGATATTGACGCATCTGAGAGCAAAAACACAGGAAAGCAATATTGTTAAGAATAAAATTTGCTACATTTGTTCCAAGAGTTTTCTTGTAATACGTTCCATTTTTCGAGTGTTACCATTAACAACATGAAAAAGCAACAAATTAATCCAATTATCATATTTTCGTATTTTTCGCGATATTGACTCATCTGAGAGTAATAATGCAACAAATCGATATTGTTAAGAATAAAATTTGTTACAATTTTTGTTCTAAAAGTTTTTTTATAACATGCTCCGATTCCTGAGTATTGTCCATGATATAAGAAATAATTTCGGCCGCCCCAAGTAGCCACTAACACTAGGTATTCCCCGATTTCCTTGATATTACAGACTGCGACGTCCTATCCTGGTTCGGTCCTAGGAAAAGGGGTCTTGGTGCCCTGTTATGTGTTCGGGATGTTAACGGTCTCGGGCGCCACCTTATGTTTAGAGAGTTAAGGAACTCTTTCGCCTCCAGGTAACTTTTGGGGGTTACAGTCGGAGATCCAGGGATTCGGTATGGGAAAGAAGAAAACAAGAAAAATTCGGAAAACAAATAACTATCAACTTTATTAATAATAAACAAATAAACAAATAGGAGGGCAGTTTATTGCTTTGTGACCACGGTCGGAGAATGGGGACGGTGGGAATAAATTGACAAGACTTTGACTTTATAATAAATGAGTTTAAATTAAACAAATAAAAAAAATGAGGCGGAGGTATGGGATACACCTGGAAACCTTCCTAAGGTGCAAAGGAACGGAATACTCGAAGAACCTTCCAAG